CAAAGGGAACAGAGTTGGTGATGCAGTCGTTTCTTTGAAAGTGAAATAAATACACACAGATCAGTTTCTTTTCTGAAGTGGGTCATTAAAATAATATATATCATTGTATAATGAAGACTTGAGTGAATAATACGAAAGTAAAATAATTATACACAGATCGATTGCTTTTCTGAAACACACTTTTTTGCCTAATGTCAGATATTAGACTGAATATAAATATTTGCGTTTGTAATGACATATTTTTAATTGATTAATTATTCATTAAAACAGGGCAGTAATTCATAGAAGTTCCAATGAAAATACTCAGATCCAGTATCTTCATAGAGTAAAAAGTAAAGCGTAGAGTAGAGTAGAGAAAAAGCTCTTTTTTTACAGTATTTTTTTTAGTATTATTCACTAAAGTCTGTAGCTTCATCAAACAACGATATGTAATATTTTGATGATTAACTTTCAGAAAAGCAATTGATCTGTGTATAATTATTCATAATTATAATTACATTAGGCAAAAGAGTGTGTTTGGTGTTGAAAGATAATCATTTGTAAATAATCATACACATTACTAAATATGTAATACAACCACAGAGCTCATTGTAATAAGTATGATTTCCATATTCTATATATTTTTTTTCTTCAATTATTCTAACCGATTTTTATTATGTAGTCACATTCACTACATGCTATTCATTTATTTAATACGTAATGCTTTCGGTATAATCTTGAAAGACTTTTTGTTATCGGTATAATATGAATACAATGATGAAAATGATTGTAAATATCAGCCCCAATTACAATCTATCTGAATACATTCAAAGATCAGCTCAAACCTTAATCTGCATTAAGAGTTATTGTCAAAGAATAACCTTTTAAAGGCTTTCTAAGAACAGCTGTGTCAGAAACATCTGCGCAGCAAAATTCTTAAGAGTTTATTTTCCAGTTTTAGGCAAAAGTGTTGAAGTGCAGAGTTGAAATCACACTGCAAACAGTTGATTCTACTGTTACAGAGTCAATTGTATGAAAGAGCAGGAGTCACTATCCTGTTTCAAGGACTTGGGTCTTTAACTCCACATAGAATGTATTTATTTAGTATTTAACCCTCATCAGATTTATTTGTAATACTTATTAGAGTTAAATTAACTCTTTGATAGGTTTGAAATGTAACTGTAGACCAGTGTCACAATTCTTGGTGTTGGGTTTAACTCTACGTATAGTGTATTTAACGCTGAGCAGATTTATTTTTGACACTTATTCTAAATTAAATTTCTAATACTTTGTTGAGTGTTGATTTACCACTGACTAGATTGGGACAATATAAACACCAGCTTAGAGTTCAAATTGAATCTCATAGATTGAATATATCTCTCTAAAATTTGCTGTGTGCCTGCTCTGTTTTCTGGTTTTTACATTCATTAACCAAAATAAGATTGTTATTTAAACTTCCCTACCACTAAAGATCAAATAAATAACAAATATATAAACGTTTTAGTAAAAATACAATGTTTAAATGTGACTTACCTGACGATACTGTGACTTTAGTCCCCTTTCCCCAGTAGTCGAAGTAATCACAGTGATGCATCTCCTGTCACTGCCTCAACAAAAACCTGTCGTAGCAGAAAAAGTCCTTAAAAACTTAATTAAGTGACTGAAATACACAGAAAACTTGCTCAAAATAATAACATGATTGTTGATTTACATCTGTGACTTTAATCTACTTATTAACTAACTTGTAATAACTAATATCCATCTAAAAGTGATAAACACAGTACTTACTCTACATTCCAGCTGAAAAACCTTCTGTCCTGTTGATTTATCACAATGAGAATGGGAGAGTTTACAGTTTTTGCTCTTAGGTTTTTGTATGGATGAATATCACAGTGCCCCATACCCCAACCCACACTGTGATAAACCCTGTTACAAAAACCTCAGTGACCCACAGCTTCCTGCACTGGAAACGTATCGTCAGCAGTGGGTAAGACTAAAAAAGAATCTCATATTCTAATCAATAAAAGTGTTGGATGTAAGATTCATACTTATTTTTACGTAATTCATATCAATCCATATTTTTTTGTTAATTGAAATGTTTTTCGTATTTTTAACAGAGCAGTTGTTTTATAGTTTGTAACAAATTTGAATTTCTATGTTTAAATCTGTCCTTTTGTCAAGCTACTGTTATATGGTGGGTCAAGAAATACTTTTAGCATTATTATTATTGTTCTTTCCTTTTTCAAACCGTCGCACTACAGCTCTTCTTTTCCAACTTGATTCCTTCTAACTTATTTACCTCTCACAACTTTATGTTTTTTACATAGTTGCTGCAAAACTGGCAAAAATCAACTTGCTCTTGTATTGAGAAACGTAAATTTTTATTCAAATGACGACCGTATTTTCTCTTTGAAGAACATTTTAAAAATAATTTCAAGTAAGAATCAAGTAAAATAATGAATATGTCTACTATGACGTTGATGTTTGTGTACATGCCTGCCCATAGATAGTGATTTATCTTTAAATTATTTTACACATCAATCATTTCAACTGATCAATTTGTTGCAGACAAAACATAGAAAGTATAAAGTAGGACGTATAGATATGTTTATTTCTTGTAAAATATCAATCTGTATTGTAAGGGTAATAATTATGGCAGATTGCTGTTTTCCTTTCTTATTTAAGTTTACATTTTAAAGAAAAGTACACACTGGAAGGCTGGAATGCTGTTTGTTTGTAGTTGTAACAGTTTTTCTAAAAAGTTTCCTGTGTGGTCCCGGAGGTGCAGAGAGGAAGATGATATGTTTAGAATCACCAGAAACTGAAGAAACGTTGGTTTGAAACGACGACATATTCAGAAGCCTTTCTGTTTAACACAAGCACACTATCGTTTCCACATGGCTGAGTGATGTCTTTATCCAAATTGATTGAATTAATTGATGTGATCTACAGTATCACATCAAAAGAGAAGCAAATATAGTCAACAAAATGATATATGAAATAGAAACATTTATTATTCTCATACAGCAAAACCAAACAAAAACGTCTTATTTTTAATATGTGACATTTTGTCATTTACAATCACTAAAAGCTTTAATGTTTGTTATAATAACACATGTGATTGACATGAAACTGTATTGGACTATTCATCTAATGAGTTTACAAGTCATGTGATAACTAGATTATTGTCACGGCGAGGTCCCATGTATCATGTGGAGGGAAGTGGCTCCAAACTGAAGCTCATTCAGACTCCCTGATTACAGGTCACTTCACCTGCTCTGGCAACCGAGCTGCCTTCAATCTACAAATCACCTTGCAGTGTATCTGTCCGCCTGTTGGGAATGTGTGTGTGAATGTAATGTGTGTTTCTGGTTTGCGGTGACTAGTGTGCTGTGACATTTATTGACTGCTGTGTCATTTATGTGATTGCTGTGATCTTGTATGTTCACTGTGTATTGCGTGATCTTTTACTATAGCGTGCACCGTGTGAGTTACATGGACTACTGTTCCCCACACAGACGTCCTATTGGACTAACAAATCCCTCTATCGCTTTCACCGGGACTAATTACCTGGACAATTAGTAACCAACCCATCTACGGGATCGAGGGGCAAAGAGGAGGAGGATAAAAAAGAGGAAGCTGCTGACTTATGGGAACACGGCCGGGACAACGAGACGGTGGCGAACGGACCGACCGACGGACCGACTGACCTCCGTCGTGAGGGGGCATCGGCCACGACGTCCCACCACGTTCTCTACAGTCCACACTGAACAGAGCACGGCCGGATTGACTGCAAATGGATCCCAGCTGTCTGACAGCTCGTGACTGGACTTTCCTGGTGGACCTTTAACTTATTGGAAGACTGCTTTTAAAATATAAATTATCTTCAATGTTTTGCTACTAAATAAAAGTATTTTTATGCATATCTCTCTTGTGGTACTTCTGTGTCCTGAGCAAATTTAAGGAGGAGCGATACGGCTGATGTTTCTACCCCGGTTCCTCAGCCACTCGTCGCCAGGTTGTTGACTGACCTGGTAGTGACTACGCTTGGCTGCTCTGTTGATGAGCGTCTCAGAGATATTGGTTTATTGTTTTTCAGTGGCAAGCTTCTTCTTTATGTTCGAAGCAAACAAGATACATTAATAATTTGTAATGCTAAAGAAACAGAGACAGGCAACAAGGTCCCAGACCTGAGGGAAAACTCACAAGACAATTCTATCACACATCTTATTAGATTCAGGACGAGGGCCGGAGGAATCCACACCTTCTCCTCCCTCCATGCAGCTTTGGTACACATAGACAGATGGGATCAAAGAGGAGACAGTTCCCACACAGCTGGTGCTGTGGAACTTCCTCACAATTAAACTCATGATTAGCTTCAGAGATTAATCTAATAAAACATTATGGCATCATTATATTTTACCATTACAAAATGTATTAGCATAGAATTGAAGTGAACAGGAGACATATATTCAGCAGGGTTTTTGTTTGTAATCGAGAACAAAGGTGACATGAGGGTTCAGTGTTAACGGAGGAGATGCGTTTGGACGTCAAATTAAATGGCGCCGACCTTCTTTACTTGCAAATATCTTTAAAACAGCTATTTATTTTCAGTGAGATAGTACAGTTGCTGCCTTTGATGATAATTAACTTTGATTTAACTTCTATTTAATCTAGTCCAACCTTCCATTTTCTCCCCCTGGTTCCAACAATTAACACTATAGGGGGGATTTTAAAAATAATGGCGATTCACAATACTTTATCAGTGACTGATACAGGGGGGGGAGTTTTTGTACAGTTCTGTGGCTTCCTGTATCACTGTGGCCTCCGAGCACAATAATAAACAGCAGAGTCTTCAGTGGTCAGACTGTTCATCTGCAGAGACACCTGGTCCACGGCGTTGTCTCTGGAAATGGTGAAACGATTCAGGACAGACGTGGAATAATATTTATTGCTTCCACTCGGAGCAGAAATGTGGGCAATCCACTCCAGTCCTTTTCCTTCAGCTTGTCTGATCCAGCTGATAGCAGCAGCATCATCTGATATTCCTGCATAGGTACAGGTCAGTTTATGGGATTCTCCTGGGAGCTTCACCGCTGGTTCAGACTCACTCAGAGTCTGACTGGAAACGCCTGCAGAGAAATCATTAATCAGTACAGAACTCATCACGCAAACTTCAAGTGATTTCCAACTATATGAAGTGACAGAATGAGTGAAAATCTTCACCTGCCCAGCAGAGAGTTAAAAGCAGCAGTCCTGTTCTGCAGCGCCTCATGTTTAACTGTGTGTGTCCACTGCTCTCTTTCCTCCTCTTGTAGGTAGAAGACATCTGAGTTTTGCATTGACTCCTCCTCTCAGGGAGCAGAGAACTAGCTACCGACAAAGGGAGAGCTTCTTCTTCCATGGAGTCATGTTGCAGAGCAGCAGAACGGACACACTTGACATGGTTTTTAATGAGAACATTTTGTGTCTACATTAAATAGAGGTCGTGATGGGTACGACTCTCAGTATTAAACAGACATGAGTTATAAAAAGTTAATGGTTCCTTTTACTGTTACATTAATAGTTATAGTAATTTATTAATCCAGTTGATGAGCGCTTTGCTTGATAATGTTGTTACTGTTACTTACTGCAATGAATAAAAAGTCAACACTTTATTGATTCTTTTCAACAAGGATGAACATGTTTTACATTTGAAACATTTGTTGTATTTCAACACAATTATTTTGTAAACTTCCCTACTAGCTGAGCCAAAGCAGTCAGGAGTAAAGTAGAAGAAACAATCGGATGTCTGTGTTCTTCATTTGATTTTTATTACTCATAAACTTCACTCAGACAAATAGGTTTTATTGTAATTTTAGATTAATAATATTATTTATTAATTAATGAAACATATAACATATTACAGGGGCTTTGCTGTTTTAAACGTTACTGTCGCTACATTAGTGTGTAAAATGTAGTGTATTTATTTCATTTAGAAAATGACTTATTCTATTTTTTGTATCTATTTGTTTATTCTTCATGTGTTTTTAAAGCTATTATATTTTTATAAGAGCACCTCCACGGTATTTCAAAGGTAAGATACCTAGATACTTATCCCAACCAGAGAGCCACTCCGAATCTCATGTTCATATCATTTATAGTTCATGCCTTTTAGTAATTTAGAATTAATTCATGTGTTTACAAGTTAAGGAACACTTTATATAACTGGGAGTGATGCAACATCGTGACGATATTAAAGATTTTGAATTTAAGATATTAAATATATATAACTACTTTTGCAAAATTATTTTGTAAACCTTCTGGCTGGCTGAGCCAAAGCAGTCCACAGTGAAGTAGAAGAAGAAAGACCTGAAGTCCGTCTTCTTCATTTGATTATTATAATTTATGTACTTAACTCAGACATTTAGGTTTTCTTGACATTTTAGATTAGATCATTTTAGATTAGATTAAAAGGGCTTTGAAAAAATAGAAACCACATTGAACAAACCAACAATATTGTGTATTTATTTTATTTAAGTTATGAATAAACTCTTATCCTGTTCTTCATTTGTTTTTAAAAGCTATTACTGACAACATGAAGATGTTAAATATATCAAAGTACTTTTGCAGTTTGTGAGAAAACCCAAATGTCCCCAAGGTGCTGTTTGTTGTGTGTGGATGTTTTTGTTCAGCTGCTCCGCTGTCTTCAGTCACTGTGTTTCTCGAGCACAGAAGTAAACAGCTGAGTCTTCTGCTGTCAGGCTCGTGACCTCGAGGTACTGAGTGCTCTTGGGCACATCTTCAGTCATGATGAAACGGCTTTGGAAGGAGCTGCTGAAGGTAGCAGAGTTGCTGCCTGTGTCCATCCTCCCAATCCACTCCAGAGCATTTCCTGGCCTCTGTCGTATCCAGTGAATGTAGTGGTCTGTCATTGTATAACCTGACGTGATACACGACATCTTCACTTTCTCTCCAGGTTTTTTCACCTCGGAGGGAGACTGTTCGTGTTTGATTTCACTCCAAACTCCTGTAAGAAAAGACATTGTAATCAGCACACCTCACAGGTGAGATAAGTGAGTGTCTTCACTGTGTTACGCAGAAATTGTTCTTACCATTAATAGTAACTATGAAGAACAGACTCCAGGAAATCATATTTTCCATTATGTTATTAACAGTTCATCCACTGCTTTCTGCTCTGAATGTTTTCAAGATATATTAGACGCCCAGTTGCTCCGTCATCAATGGCATGAGAGCTGCATACGGCATTATTTTAAGGAAGGAACAATTTGCATGCACCTCCCTCAACAGGTTTCAAAAGACAAAATGGAAAGCAGGTGAACTCAAATAAATATACAACAGCCAAAGCAGAGTGAAGTAAAAGATCTTAATTCCTGACAACTATTCATAATGTAAAAATATTTCTGTTACAGGAAAAGTAAAAACATATTTTTCTAACAGTATATCAAGCCGAAAATCATTTTTAATATAATATTGTTTGAGTGAACATAAGTATCTTTAATGTCTTGGATTCTAGTTTTGAATCCTTAAAAAATAGTACGCGGGTAGAAAAGCCCAATTTAGCGGCACAGCTGCAATGATCACAATGCAAGATGATCTCTTAAATATATTAAATAACCAGACAATGTCTCCTTCAGGGAGTAACTAGTCACACACAGACTGCTTCATAATGTATTTAAATGTGTTTGACAGTGTGTGGGTGAGTCACACGGTTGCTGGTACTTGTGCAGGTCTGTTGGTGGTTTGTATCTCTGAGGGATAACGCACACAGCAACACACAGCTGTGTCCTCAGTTTGATCATTCTGTCCTTTTAAAGTCACTGTTGGAGGCAGAAGTGTCTCTGCTGGAGATTAACTTATTCTTCAGAGCAACATTTTGACAAAGGCCACGTTTATATAGCACAGGTCAGACATTTACAAAAAGAAATAGCAAAACAAATAACTGACTCCAAATGATTGTATTTTATTTTGTGGGATACTGTGACGACCCCTGCTGTGGAGGCAGCAGCCTTCCAATGAGATTTGGTGATTGAAGGCACCTGGGCCAGGTGCCCTGAGATTAGAAAGCCCTGTGTTCATTCATTGATTCGGTCGCTCTCTTCTCTCTCCAGCAGACGTCCGGTGTGGTAGGGCAGCCGCCTGTTGAATCCGGTTTTCCTTTGGGTTAAATGCCCTGGACAACACCCACCATTTACACTTTACCCTCATGCACATCCTACACTACTGATAATACTGACTGGGATTCGCATCCCATCTGGAATGGTTATGGTTTTTTGTTGTTTTGTGTGTTAAATAAAGAATGTTACACCTCGGAAACCAGTGTAACTCCAATCTTGTCATGGCCCAAAGAGCCAGGTCGTGACAAATGGGGGCTCGTCCAATTCTGGTCAGTGATTTGTTTGATGATCAAGTGTGTAGATTTCGTGTGACGCGTGTTTTTCTGTGGATCAGCTGTGAGCGGTTGGTGCGCGTTTGGTTTGGTGGTGTGGTGGTTCGTTGGACCGTTGTAGTTGTAGCTCTGGTTCGTTGGACCGTTGTAGTTGTAGCTCTGGTTCGTTGGACCGTTGTAGTTGTAGCTCTGGTTCGTTGGACCGTTGTAGTGAGTTCTCTGGTTCGTTGGACCGTTGTAGCTCTGGTTCGTTGGACCGTTGTAGCTCTGGTTCGTTGGACCGTTGTAGCTCTGGTTCGTTGGACCGTTGTAGCTCTGGTTCGTTGGACCGTTGTAGCTCTGGTTCGTTGGACCGTTGTAGCTCTGGTTCGTTGGACCGTTGTAGCTCTGGTTCGTTGTAGTTCTTTGGTCACGTCGTAGTTCAAGGTTGTGGAAGTACGTGTAGACGAGAGGATGCGCTGTTTGGAGTTTCCCTGTCAGGTTATAGTGGTGTCTCCCCTTTGGGTTACGTCAGTTTTTTTTGTAGTGTTGTGGCAACGTGGTTAGTGTCAGCTGTCTATGGACGGTTGTCTCGGGAGCACGTCCGTGGGATCCTGCGTTGTGGCCTACTTGCGGGTGACTTCTCAGACCTGCTGGTTTCCAGTGCGTAATTACCCACCGCAAGCTGCATGAAGACTAGGTGAGTTTAGTAAGGGTTTGGGACTAGGCAGTTAGGGGGAATACTCCGCGGGGCAAGTTGCCTTCGTTTGTGTGCGTTTGGGGGGTAATACGGTGCGTTCTGTTTGGTCTATGTCTTCCTTGTCGGGTTTTTTTGATGAGCCCTCTGAGGTGTTCATTAATGGCTGTACTAAAGAACAGTTGCTCCAGATAGCCGAGCATTATACTATTGATGTGACTAATGTCAAACTTAAGGCTGAGGTGAAAGCTGTTGTTCTGTCCGCTTTAGTGGAAAGTGGTGTTTTGAGGACGGAGGAGTATTTGTCGGACGTGGCAGCTGTGGCAACACCTGTGTCTGCACCCATGTCGGGGCTGACTTTTGAGCAGCAGAAGGAGCTGCTGATGATCCGGTTAAACTTGGAAACTGAGCGGCAGATTCAAATCGAAAAGGTTCGGCATCAAACCGAAAAAATGAAACTGGAATTGCAGCAGTATAAATTGAGTTTAATTTGTGACGGTAAGCTTTCACAGACTATGGCAGAGGAAGGTTTCCCGGAATCTGTTCGTCTCGGGTTCGATGTTGGGGCTAATTTGCGTTTAATGCCCAGATTTAATGAGAAGGATCCTGATACGTTTTTCACTTTGTTTGAGCGTGTTGCAGATGCAAGAAATTGGCCGGATGCTGACAGGACCGTGATGCTTCAGTGCGTACTTACGGGTAGGGCCCAGGAAGCCTATTCAGCGCTGCATGCGAGTGAGTGTATGAATTATGCTAAGGTCAAATCTGCTGTCTTGAAAGCATATGAGTTGGTTCCTGAGGCTTACCGCCAGAAGTTCAGGAAGTGTGAGAAAAGTGGTGAACAAACTAATGTGGAATTTGCTCGTGATTTGTTGTGCCATTTCAACCGTTGGTGTTCCGCTGCATCTGTTGAGAGTTTTGATGGACTTTGTGACTTGATAGTGTTGGAACAGTTTAAAAATTTGATTCCGCCACGTATTGCAGTGTATGTAAGTGAACAGAAGGCAGCTACTGCACTTAGAGCAGCTGAGCTGGCGGACGATTTTGTGTTGACGCACAAAAGTGGTTTTGGTGAGATGTGCTCAACCTGCGGTGGACTTTGTTTCTGCAAAGTCATAATTTAGACATCAGGCACATTAAAGGCAGAGACAATATAATGGCAGATGCTTTTTCTCGTGCCCCTGTGGGCTAAATGGTCTGAATTGTAGTGGTCCGGGTTAATATTGTGATCATGAAATGTAACTCCTGTCATTCTTCACTTTGTTCTCGTCTATCTTAAAATGCTTCTTTTAGGTACCTGGTTGCAGAGCTGGGGCGTAGGTTCAATGTGAAGGGTGCTAAGGTAGTATGTTTTTGTTGTTGTTGTTTTTGGAATTTGCGGTGATCCCTGTCGGGACCCCGTCTTAAGGGGTGAGGTGTGACGACCCCTGCTGTGGAGGCAGCAGCCTTCCAATGAGATTTGGTGATTGAAGGCACCTGGGCCAGGTGCCCTGAGATTAGGAAGCCCTGTGTTCATTCATTGATTCGGTCGCTCTCTTCTCTCTCCAGCAGACGTCCGGTGTGGTAGGGCAGCCGCCTGTTGAATCCGGTTTTCCTTTGGGTTAAATGCCCTGGACAACACCCACCATTTACACTTTACCCTCATGCACATCCTACACTACTGATAATACTGACTGGGATTCGCATCCCATCTGGAATGGTTATGGTTTTTTGTTGTTTTGTGTGTTAAATAAAGAATGTTACACCTCGGAAACCAGTGTAACTCCAATCTTGTCATGGCCCAAAGAGCCAGGTCGTGACAGATACATACTAAAGTTCAGGTTATTTATCATCTGGGTGTTTGAGAGGTAAATAATAAATACAATAGGCTCCTCTGCGACAAGTCGAAGCAAGGACCCTAATAATAAAACTCAGATCTTAGTGTAGAACTCAAAATCTGAAGAAAAAATGATTTTCCTTGCTTGTAAAATTCAATGTAGGGCAATTAATAAACGTGTTATGTATTTTCTTAAATATATAGAATAGCATATTTGTAATTGTAACATGTAGGTATTTAAACTGATGTCACAGTGAGCTGGTGGTGAAATCATTGGTGGTCTGAGGACTCCTCCTCTGGTGGCTTTGTGTTACAAGTGTTCAGGCGCTGAGAGGTTTTTGTTCTGCTGTACTGATGGTTTGTGTTACTGTGGGTATCTTGCACAGTAATACACTGCGCTGTCCTCAGTCTTCAGACTGTTCATCTGTAGATACAGTTTACTGCTGGAGTCATCTCTGGAGATGGTGAATCTACCCTTGACTGATGGGGAGTAATAGATAGGAGAACTAGATGTGCTGATGTAAGCGATCCACTCCAGTCCTTTTCCAGGAGCCTGTCTGATCCAGGTCATACGGTAGCTGCTGAATGTGAATCCAGATGTTGTACAAGTCAACCTGTGAGATTCTTCAGGCCTTTTAATCACTGCTTCAGATTGTGTCAGAGTCTGACCATCAACACCTGTCAAGAGAAGAAGATATGCATGTCATGTGTTACGTTAACAGCAAGTGGAAACGTGTGAAATCAAGATCAGAGAAATTCTTCACCTGCGCAGAAGACAGTTAAAAGCAGCAGTCCTGTCCTAAAGTCCCTCATGGTTAACTGTGTCCACTGTCCTCTGTCCTCCTCTCTGCAGCCACATAAGTAGAGGAGAAAGACATCTGAGTTTTGCATTGACTCCTCCTCTCTGATTGAACAGTGTCCTCTGTCCTTGTTTATATCATTTGAATATGTTTCACACTAAGGATTCTGTCTAAATATGGAAAATATGAAGACTCTATTATACAAAGCTATCTTAAGCAAAGCTTTCACTTTAATTGGATACAAAATGACTCTATAGTGAAGTCCTCTCACTGAGGTGGTTTACAACTATGAGAGTAAAAATGTAATAACGAGGATATTGTTTTCCTCTGATAATCCAAAATGTTTTTCCCACTGCTCATTTAGGGAGTCACTGTCTCATCCTGGTTGAGCAGTGAAAGGTCAGAGGGCAAAAGCTGATAAGGATGAGAGTGAGAGACACACCAATCACCTTACAACCCTCACGCTTTGATAGTTATGTTTACATTAATGTTAGGAAACCACACATTGTGTGATTGGATCTTGACCCG